GAAGCTAAATATGAGAAAAATTCTCATTTGAACTGGTTTCAGCTCAGATCTGTCTTGTATAAAAGCAATGTGGTGCAGTGGATAGCAAGTCATACTGGAATTCAAATCCTACCTCTGACTCTCCTGGCCCTGGGATTTTAGGTACTGTTACTTAACCTCTTCATGTCCTAAACAACTCTCTAAGGACTATGAGTTATAGATCTGCACTGAAGAATTCCCTCCTTGGGAGTTCTCTATACCAATGAAGTCATAATGTGGTGTTAAATATGTATATGTACACAAATATAGACATATGCTTATATAAATATATGCATACACACATTATTTTTCCATAAATTGCCTCTCCCACTCAGTACAATGTAAACTTCTTGAGGGAAGGAACTGTTTTCATTTTTGTTTTTCTATTCCACAACCTAGTACAGTGCCTGGCATATAGTAGGCACTTAGTAAATTCTTATTATTTTATCTGTAATAAATTAATTATAATTTAATTAATAACTTAATTAATTAATTTTAAGTTTTTAGTTAATTAATTAGTTTTCACTTCCATAAGACTTTGACTCTCCAACACAGTGTGCAATCTGATATAGCCTCTACATATATATTCATATTAAGCACATTTTCACATTAGTTATGTTGTAAAGAAGAATTAGAACCAATGGGAGAAACTATGAGAAAAAAGAAACAAAAAAAAAAGAGAGAGAGAGAGTGAATAGTATGCGACAATCTGCATTTAGACTCCGTAGTTCTTTCTCTGGGTGTGCATAGCATTTTCCATCATGAGTCTTTTTGGAGTTGTCTTAGATCCTTGCATTGCTGAGAAGAGACAAATCTATCACAGTTAGTCATCGAACAATGTTGTTGTTACTGTGTACAATGTTCTGGTTCTGCTCACTTCACTCAGCATCAGTTCATGTAAATCTTTCTAGGTTTTTCTGAAGTCTGCCTGCTCATCACTTCTTATGGAACAATAGTATTCCATCATAATCATATACTATAACTTGTTCAGCCATTCCCCAATTGATGGGCATCCCCTCAATTTCCAATTCTTGGCCACCACAAAAAGAGTTGCTATAAATATTTTTGCACATGACAGAAGGGTTCTGGATAATGGACGATGCTCTTGTGCTTTCCCAGTCACCAATGGAGTGAAACAAAGCTGTGTGCTTGCTTCCATGCTTTTTAGCATGATATTTTCAGCCATGTTGTCAAATGCTTTCAATGAGGATGAACACAGCATCAAAGTCAGCTACTGCACTGATGGTAAATTCTTCAACTTGAAAAGGCTACAAGCCAAGACCAAAGTGGAAGGAGTGTTGGTGCATGATTTTCTGTTTGCAGATGATTGTTCATTCAATGCAGCCTCTGAAGCTGAGATTCAACAAATTTGACAAATACTAGCTGTACGACCATGTCATGATCAATCACTTAACCTCCCATTGACCAGTTTCAGGTCTACATCAGTAAAGGGAATTTCTGCTAGGAGTTTCCTATATTGATGATGAAATCACAGGACCTGACCCTCTTTCCCCCTCCAAAAATTGGTCCTTGTATGGAGGATGGATTGGAAAAGGGAAGGACTGAAAGCACCAAGACCAAGGGCCCTATTACCTCAGCTTCTCAATTTCCCTGACTTCTTTCAAATCCCAGCTCAAATGCTACTTTCTGGCAGAGGTTTTCTGCTGGTCTCCTAGCTGATAAGGCCTTCCCCTTTCAGATTATCTTGATGTACTCTATATATGTCTTCTATGTACCTAGACACTTACACATTTGTCTCTTCTATTAGAATGTAGGCTGCTTGAGGGCAGGGACTGTATTTTGCTTTTCTTTGTATCCCCAGCACTCAGCACAGTGTCTAATACAGGAGTGGGGAACTTGTGACCTCGAGGCCACATGTGGCCCTCTAGGTGCTCAAGTTCAGCCCTTCGACTCAATCCAAACTTCACAGAACAAATCCCCTTAATAAAAGCATTTGTTCTGTAAAACTTGGACTCAGTCAAAAGGCCACACCCAAGGACCTAGAAGGCCTTGTGGCTTCAAGGTCACAGGTTCCCCATCCCTGGTCTGGTACATAGCAGGCACTTAAATACCTATTGACTTATCAAATACTGAAGGAGGTTGCTGCAATAGCCCCATTGAGAGGTGAAGATGACCTGAACCAGGGGGAAAGTTGTGAGTGGAGAGGGGAAGTGTGTACAACAAGATGGTATGGAGGCAGACTGAAAGATGGGATCTAGGGATTGATTGCATATGGGGTAGGAGAGACAAGAGAGAATCAAGGATGACTCTTAAGTTGAGTGACTAGCAAGATGGTGGGACCTTCCACAGAAATAGGGAGGTTTGGAGGGTCCTACTTCCTCTAGGCAGCTTCAGGGGTGCAGGGAGCAAGCTTTATGACCCTTTCCACCTGCTTCCCCTGTAGTTCTCCTTACAGCATGACAAGGTCTTTGGATTTAGGATCTCCCTGACTTCAAATGTCTCCCTCTCTACATCTCCCAGTATTCCAGTTTTCTCCTGGAAAAGAGGTAAACTCAGCTGGGAGGGTGCGTTAGGGAGAATACCCTACGGGTAGGGATTTTTTCCTCTCTAGTCCTCACTTTTATTGCCCATTCTTTTTTTATTGATATTCTTCATGGTCACTTCCCAATCACTTCCCTACCCCCAACTGCATAACCTAAGAATCTTTCTTTGAAATAAAAGCAAAATCCAAAAATGTGTATCTTATACATTTACATATACACTTATAATTTACCACTTCTCAGTTGAGAACAGAGCCATGCTTCATCTTCATTCCTCTGAAGTTATGGGTTGTTTTTTTTCTTGCATTGATCAGCATCTTGAAGTTTCAGTGTTGACATCCCTTACGTTTACCACAGTCTTCACATAAATTATTTCTCAAAAGTCATTTTTCATGACACAAGTTCCTTTCCTTATAAGACCTCAAAGTTTGTACAACATTTCTTCTCTGGCCACAGTGTCTTTGGCAGAGTAGGGTGTCTAATGCTTGCTCTCAAGAGGGGAAACTGAGGCAGTAAAGGGGAAGAAGTGACCACAGAATCATAGTATCCACCATTCCAAACTTCTGCTGATCCAACTGAATAAAGATGAATTGGGAGTAGATATCCATTGGTGAAAACATCAGGACTGTTTGGAACCAGGAGGTCTGTGAGACACAAATGGAGTAAGAGGAGGACTGTTGGATTTGACCATGAGATCTGGAGACTGAAGTCTGGTAGTTTTTCCATGTTAGGTTGTTAGCTGCTCAACTGAGTTATCAGTTGATCATTCAGAACAAAACCTATTTGGTCAGATAAGACCAAGAAACAGTTCCCCTTGTCTTATTACAATAAATAGATGGACATATAGGCAGATAGATATAGGGGGAAAGATATGGCACTTATTAAGAGCCCGAACCAGGCTAAACAATATTGTTCTAAGGCCTCAATGACTAAAGCCCCCTACCCAGTATTTTACTTGATCAAGAGTCAGCCCCAAACTAGACAGCATATAGCACTTCCAATTCGTGGGGTAATCTTCCAGTTATTAAGTTGGTAGGGGTGGGATGTGGCCCAGCACCAGAAAGGTTTGCTCAAGCTTTACTCAGCTCATTTCCTCATTTCAATCAAGCCCTTCAGACCTGCAGCAGAAGCAAGAATTCCAATTACTTCTCGGTCGGTCAGTTCTATGATGAACCTAGCTGACCCTTGTGCTAAGTGAGTATTCCAGTCCTTTCCCTTTATCTGCCCGTTTACTTCTGACTCCACTAGAAATGGGCGTCTTGAGCAAGACGCAAAGGTAGTAGTAATTTCTCCTCAGGGCAAGGCAAGGCAGATTCTAGGAAAGAAGCAGGTTCCCACGATCTGGAACAGCAGGACAGGTGGGGGGGGGATTGAGAAGGTGTGTCCAGTCTCCCATTTCCCCCTGGGGGGTACCACCCTCCCAACTGTTCCTAGTTTGGCCCTCCTACACACCTAGGCCAGGTGGTCCCTTACTCTAGCATCCCCACTGGGGGAGGGTGTATGTAGTTCCTTTCGGTCGTAGCCTCCTTCCTTCCCCGTTCATCAACCCCTCCCCCCCCACCTTTCCAGGCTCTGGGTAGAAGGGAGGGGTATAGATAACAGACGCCCGTAAACCCAAGCATCATAAGATGTTAGGACTGAATGGCTTCCCCTTTCGAGAGCACGGAGTGTGAAGGAGGTGGGGGGTAGAGAGCAGTGGGAGGGAGAAAAAGTAGACTATAGGTCGGGGGTGGGCGGCAGAGCAATGGGCTGCTTAATGAGGTGACTTTGCTAATGATAATTATGAACAGTTTAATTCAACTATTTACTGAGCTTATTTCTAGGTCAGGAAAAGCGCCACACAGCGAATCGGGACCTGGGGCGGGGGCGGGTGGTGCAGGCGGGGTGGGGAGGAGGTGATGGGCCAGCGACGAGTGGCCGCAGTGGCCGAAGTTGGGGCCGCCTTTTTCGGGCCCCCATACCTGGCTTGAAGCCCCGGAGACCCCCAAGGCCGCACGCTTCCTTCTTCTCGCCCTCCCGATTGTCCGATATTGTTTTTCGTTTCGCTCCCTTCAGCCCGACTCGGCTCTGACCGGCCAGGCGGGGGCGGGGGCAGGAACGCTCCCACTCCAGCCTCCTCCACCTTCCCGCTCCTCCACAGCCTGATTGGAGGAAAGTTTCGGGACTGCGTCGCGATTGGAGAGTTCTGTCGGTCCCCGCCTCCCTGCCCATCCCTCCCCTAGCCGCTGGCATCCCCCGGCCCAGGTTGAAAGTGGCCGGCGGCGCGGCGGTCAGCGAGGCTTGGAGCTATGGGGCTGGGGGGCAGCGCCGCCGCGCCTCTCGCCTCCCCCGGGCTCTGAAACGCCTCCGCGGAAGGAGATGGGGACTGCGGTTAGCGAAGGCTGAGGCTCGTCGGGTGCGAGGGTCTGGGGATGCGGCTCCAGCTGTTGTTGCTGCGGCGGCGGGGCTGCGGCTCCTGAGCGCCCCGGGGCCCCAGGGCTCGGCTCCAGCCGCCTGGCCATGCCGCTTCCACCACTGCTCTGGCTACTGGGCTGCGGCCTCCTGGCCTCCGCGGCCCTGGCCAGCTACTCGGAGGATCAGTGTAGCTGGAGAGGGAGGTATGGACGCCCCCACCCCTCTCACGCCCGACCTCCTGCCTTCATCCCTCCCCCAGCTCGGAATCCCCCTCCCCCCATCCTCCTCTTCTCGCCTCTCAGTCTATCCCCCGTCCCTCCTTTATCCCCTCTTGTTTATAGGACGCTTTAGAACCTTTACTAATTTGCCCCTTTTCCCTGAGCTGTAGAAGAGGAAAGGAGGAGGAGAAATGTATGGTAAAGTGGTTTTTCTAAAGATAGAGTGAAGGGAAGGGGTGGGGGGCGCCCCCCTTCTTCCGACATAGGGAAAAGGAAGGACTTTATCACCTTTAGGATGTCTCCCCTAGCTCAGGGGGAGATCTCTTTTTGGATCCTACCCTTGGTACCTGGAACCAGTGGTAATGGGGAATGGGGTGGTGGGGAGCAGGGGTTTTCGTGGATTGAGCGCTGAGGCATCCCTAAGGAGAGGGCGGGGTTGGCAGGCAGGCGGGAGGAGGGAGAAGTCACAAAGTCAACTTGGTTTTGTTCTCCTAGGATTTTTTGGCGGGTCCTCTGAGGTGGGCCCCCCCTCTGTTTCATCTCCCCACTACATACATATGCACAGACATTCTTCTCTCAGTAGGGAAACCTGTCCTCCTTCTCCTGGCATTCCGAAGAAGGAATTAACACTTCCCTGCACTTGCTTCCTCGTCACCCCCAAGGGTCTTTCCCTCCCTTGATTCTGAGGAGCTGAAAGCTAACCCAGACAGTCCTCTGGTTCCTAGGAGCTTGGGATTTAGAAGTCGTAATGGGAGGTTGAGAATATTTGAAATGGGTTTTAAATGTCTGAGCAAGATGGGGAGGCGAGCACTGAGGAAAAACTTAGTCAGGGTACCACCCTCTAGGAAGGGATAAGACAGAACCCAGAGATGGAGAGAACAGAACCCTCTTTGTGAAGCTGCCATCCTGTTTGGTGCTACGGTTGACTGTCCTCATTTCTTTGAGAATTAGTGTTGGTGACGAGGGAATTAGCTTTTCCTGTAGAATTGAGTCTCAGAGTATTTCTCGGGATAAGGGTTAGAAAAATATGTGGTGAACTTAAAGTGGGGGGGACCTGCCCATCTGAAGAGCTGTCACTAGTGAATGGATTCACTTCTCTTTCCTGAGAGAATGTGGTATAGAGATGACTGTAGTCACCACAGGATGAAGTAAAGGGACTAAAAATGAGGGAGCAAGAAGGCCTAATCTTGGCCAATGGCTTGGCATGCTACTCCCTCCCTATTCAGTGCCAGATAACTCCAGAGTACCAGTTTGATCCCTGAATTGGGGGATGGGAGAAAATAAAACTGGAATCCTGCCCCTAATTCAGTGAGTGATCTTGGACAAGTCAGTTTCCATCTTTGTTGGTTTCAGTTTCCAACTCTCTAGAAGGAAAGTGCCTTCTTTAGACTAGAGTTTTGAGCTCAGCTCCTTGATTTCAAGTTTGGGAAGCTGGGGATAGGGGATAGGATAAATGATCACCCAAGCTTCCCTGCTTCCTCATAAGGCCAAGGAATCATTGTGCTCAGGATGGAAAGATATACACCTAGTTTCTGTCCTGGGCCTAGATTGCAAACTAATGAAGATCCCCACCTACTCCTTCCCCCTCCCTCAGTCCAGCGTGATACAGTTATGTGAAGATCTTGGGCTGGGATGCCGTCTACAGGGCCCCTGGGAGGATTGACATTTCAGGATCCACAAATCGCTGATCAAACAACTTGTGGGGCCTGAATCAGCTCTGAGGCTGAGTAACTGAAGAGACAGGAGGGATGGGGGTGGGGGTGGGGGGCAAGTGGCCTCGGTGTAGTCTCTGAACTAAGAGCATACTAGGGTGGAAGAGACATTCAAAGGTCATCTAGTCCACTCCTCTGCCTCAAGCCAGGACATTTTTCCTCCCCTTAACTCTTCCTCAAAAAGAGACAAAAATTGGCCTTGGGATGAGGTACCACTCTTTCCCTGTCTTAACATTTCTTCATATAATCTTACTGAAATCCCTCCTGCTGTTACTTAAACTGTTCCCTAGGAAAACAGCTGTTCTCTGTCCCTCATAAGACAACCTTCCATTGGCTTGAAGGTTCCCGCCTGCTCTGTCTGCCCTACATCTTCTAGCTTCCTGCTATGTCTGCCTGCCTGCCAGTCTCTCCCCACTCCCCTCCCTCTTCCCCAATATACATTTGCTGGGCTTTCCAGTCGCTCTGTACATCAGTCTTCATCACCCAGTATATCAATGTGTGTAGCAACTGGTCCTAGCTTGGAGTGAAAAGCTAGCCTTTCCCTGGTTTTAGGAAGTTGGATTATATCCCTTCCAGCCTTAAATAAGGAAACTTCCTCACAGAGCTGTTCAGAAGTGGATTGGGCTGCCTTGAGGTAGTGTACGTATTCCTTGGGGGTCTTCTAGTAGAGGTGGGACAACTATGGGTCAGGGCTTTTGGAGAGAGGATAGCGATTTTTATGTAGGAATTGTACTAGATGACCTCTGAGATCCATTCCACCTCTCAGAATCTGTGACTATAAAACATGGTGCAAAAGAAAGAGTAATGGCCTTGAGTCAGCAGCCTTGAGACCTACCTTCCTGGTTCTCTACCATTAACTTGATGTGTGGGGGTAGAGTGCTGGACCTTGGAGTCAAGGAGTCCTGAGTTCAAATATGACCTCAGGCACTTACTAGCTGTGTGACTCAGGGCCATTTACTTAATTTATGTCTGCTTCACTTTCCTTACCTGTAAAATGGGGATAAAAATAGTACCTATCTTCCAGGATTATTGTGAGAATCAAATGAGATAATATTTTAAAACACTTTACAAATCTTAATGTGCTATATAAATGCTGGTCATTATTGTTAGTTATTATTTTTTCCCTTTTTTGAACCTCATTTTCCTCATCCTTAAAATCAGGAAGTTTAGCCTCAGAATCTTAGTTTCCCCATCTGTAAGATTCCTTCCAATTCTAATATTCCATGATCTTGTGAATCTATGATTTTGTTTGCCCAGTGACCTGCAGGGCAACCTACATTTATCCTAACAATGAGGGCTATCCAAAAATAAAATGGGCTGCCTTGGGATCTACTGGATTGACCCTGGTACTACCGGTCTTCCGGCAAAGGCTGGATAACCATGGATTCAGTGTGGTGTAAAGGGGATTCTTGTTCAGATAAAGGTTGGACTAGATGGCCTCTGAGTGAGGTTCCTTTAAATAGGAAATTCAATGATTTTGAGGGTAGAGGAGAAAGTAGCAGAGACTTGTTAGGTCACTGCCACATGACCTGGCATTGGTCTGAGAAAGCTTTAGGGAGAAGGGAGGGGGAGAGCTAGTGGTTTTTTCTGATAGTTAAGATTCCTGTGGCTTGCTGTGCTATGGTCACGATTTTCACCAAATCCTACACCCTTCCCCCCCCACTACGTGGATGGGAGCAAGTTTCACATAGAATCACAACATTTCAGCTCTTGGGGAATCTCAAGAGGCCAACTAGACCAATCTATTACCTGAAATAACAAATCTCTACACTAACGGTTCTTGAACCTGGGGTCCATGAACTTGTTTTTTAATATTTTGGTAACTGTATTTCAATATAATGGCTTTGCTTTGTAATCCTGGGTATTTTTATGCATTTAAAAACATTGTTTCAAGAAAGGGTCCATTATCCCCAAAACTTTAAGAACCCCATTGAGAACACAGAGAACAATCCGGCTTTTGCTTTAAGACTTCTATTGCTGGGGAACCCACTAGCTTCTTAGGCCGACCCACCTACTTTGGATAATTTTAATTTCTAGGAAGTTAGCTGTTCCTTACCTCAAGCTGCTTTGCAACTTCCCATTGCTCCTAATTTTACCTTTTGAAGTCAAGCCCTGTCTAACTCCTTTGGACAGCCTGTGCTTACTTGAAGAGCTATTTCCCCCCTCACTCCTCTTTTCTTCCAATTAAACATCCCTGGTTCCTTCAGCTGATGCCTATGTGACCTGATCTCAAGGCATCCTAGTTATCTGCTTCTAGACCAACTCCAACTTAATTTTTTTTCTTTTTTTCCTTTTGCCTTTTGGTGAGGCAATTGGGGTTAAGTGACTTGTCTCACTTAACACAGGGTCACACAGCTAGTGTCAAGTGTCTGGTCTGAGGCCAGATTTGAACTCAGGTTCTTCTGGATTCCAAGGCCAGAGCTCTATCCACTGTGGCATCTAGCTGCCCCAACAATGTTTTTCTAAAAAGTGGTGTCCACAACTGAAAACTGTGCTCCATAGTGGTCTAACCAGGGCAGAGCAGAGTTGCGCTTTCCTGTCCCTACTCCTAGATGCCAAGCCTCTCTCAAGCCAGCCTAAAATCACATTCAATATTTTGGCTGCCAAATCACAATAACAACTCATTCTGAACTTTCATAATATACAACCCTCCCCTCTCCCCAGATATTTTTCACACAAAATTGTGTCAAATACAAGATTACTTTCTATCTTGTATTTGTGATGCGTAGTAGGGATTGAGGCTGGGAGAGAGGAGGCCTGGGCTCTGGGTCAGGTTCTAGGGTAAACCTCACAGAGCCTCAGTTTCTGCATTTATAAAATGGAGATACTAACTCCTGCCCTTCCTACCTCAGTGGGCAATTGTGAGACTTATGTGAGAAGACAGATGTGAAAGTGTTAGATGGGAAGTGCTGTGGGTGCTGGTACTGCTTTGTGGGTGCTATACTGACCCTGTTGGTGGGGGTTCTTGGCAGTGGCTTGTCCCAGGAGACGAACAGCGTGGAGCAGCTATCCCTGCATTGTGCCGAGGGCTCCCTGGAGTGGCTCTATCCAGCAGGTGCCCTTCGCCTTACCCTCTCCCCCAGGCTGCCCCCAGGCAGTGCTGGAGCTGGCCAGAGTCCCAGGCATATCACAGCCTGCATCAAGTCCTCGGGCCCCTTCCGGGGGGCCCAAGTCTACGTGGAGAGAGATGGACTCCTGGAGTTGCTGTTGGCTGAGGCCCAGGGGCCGCCCAGGGGCCGGTGTGTCAGCTGGCAGCCGCAGGAGAGGGTGGCACTTTTCGTGCAGTCTACCCCACATCGGGACATCAGTCGCCGGGTAGCAGCCTTCCGCTATGAACTTCGAGGGGACTGGCACCTGCACCTTCCCCTATTCACCCACAACCTTAGCATGGAAGGTGAGGAAGATCAAGGCCATTCTGGCCTACTAGGGATTGGGCACCTTTCTGCTGGCACCATTTACATACCTATTCCATCTCCCTCCTCTATCTTACCACAGTCCTTTGAAGTTAGAACTGAAACTTGTACCCTAAAGCAAGGTGTTTTTGTGTCAAGGAGTTGGAATTTCTGGGTTTTCTTGCCAGCCTGTGTTGTAGCTGACTTGCTGGGTATCCTCTAGCCAGTAGATATTTATCCTTTTAGGGCCTCAGTTTCCCTTAACCCTTAGATGGAAAATGATATTGCTTTGAGATCATTTGACTAAAGATTGAGGAGATCAGACTGGGTTCCTGGCTTTAGTTTCAAACTCTATCCTGAGTGGTGAGCTATATTTCTTTCTCTTCACTCCACACGAATTCATTGTCCCTCAGGTCTTCTACCTGAGAATGGGTGACCTGTCTTTGATACTCAGTGTGACTCAGGAGTCAGACAAGACCCTTGGCTGGAATAAGATCAGGAGAAATTGGAGGAAGACTGGAAGAGAAACAGTTGCCATGATGGCCTGGAATAGCTGAGATTGCTGGCCCTGGGGCAGAGGTTTTGTGGGGTGGGAGGACTTGCCTGCTCTTAAGTGTGTGGAGGGTTATATTGTAAGAGTTGCAGTAAGCAGCAGCTGCCTTCCGAATGTTCTAGGAACGAAGGCAAGAGAAACAGACCTGAAATGTAGCAGAAGGGATTTAGGTTAGATGTGAATTTACTGACTGCAAGGGTTACCAAGGGAGGCCATGGCATCTACCCTGGATCTGTTTGAGGGAAATGTAGGCAATGACCTCCCTGGGCTGTTTGGAATACAGTCCAGTTCTGAGGCTGGATGACCTCTCAGACTTCCTCTCAGCCTTAGGATTCAGTGATTGGGCCTTGGGGAGCATGTGGGAAGCCCTGCCTTGACCCAAGGCCTCCCATTGGGGGAGGAGGAGTAACTTGAGTCCCCTTCTCCTCTGCTTGAAGTGGGGGAGGGGAGGAAGAGAACCAGGGTTAGAGTGTGCTCCCTACAGGGGCTGGGGGCCCAGAAGGGGCTATAGCCCCATGACCTCCCTCCTCTCATCCCTCCGCCAACCCCTGCACGCAGCCAACAAAAGTCCAGTGTACTATCTGTGGCCTGGCTGCCTGGTCTCCATGGTGATATGGGCACTCCCCCGCCATCTCCCCCGCTGGGCAAGGCAGCTCATTCCCATCCTTTGAGAGCCCCATGGCTGGATATGATGGGATTAGCCCCACCCATCTGTTGAGAGGGTAGGAGGTTTAGGAGAATGGGGATAGAGGGGAAAGTATCCTGTTCTCTTCTCTCTAGAGGCCTCTGGTCTTGTCCCAAGGGCCCTGGCTTTTCCAAATTGCTGTAATTTTCTAAAATGCCTCTACTAAGGATTTCAGGGCACTTTGTCAGCTAGTGTTTGTCATTTAGGCCAAACAAAGGGATTGAGAGCCTTATGGCTTCTTTCTGAGGATGAAGGATAGAATCATAACGGTTAGGGACCAGAAGCCAGGAGTCCTAGACTTAAAGAAGGTAAACCTAAAACTGTATATTCTTGTAAGTAATGTAGAAGTTGATTTTGCCACCTGAGTTAGAAGTATGAAGCATATGATGTTGTATACATACATCTCTGTACATGTATGTATACTTGTGTGTGTGTGTGTGTGTATGTATGTATGTATTTAGGCTCTGTTCCTTAAATTCAGGGTAGCCCCTGGAAGTTTACACATGCATGGCTCGAGAGGCAGCTGGTGCAGAGTAGGAAGAACACTGACTGGACTTAGTCAAAAGGCCTGGATTCAAATCCGGTCTTTACTACTTAGCTAATGGTATGACCCCCACCATATTTCTTATCTGTAAAGTGGGAATAATAAACAGTCTACGACTAAAGCACTGAACAAGTGGGAGTCATTATCAAGAGAATTCCAGTGGAGCTGGAGGATTCTCTGGAGGGGCCCCAAATGACTTCGGCCCCCCAGACTGGGCTATGGACAGTGCAGCCTCCACGAGGCCTTTTCTTACCCAAATGGCCCTTCCTGTTCTCCCAAGGGGAGGGCTGTTGGGGGAAGAGAGGTGGGTAAGGAGTGGGGAGCCCACCTTAGCCTGTGCAGCTCATGCTTCTGTCTGTGCCACAGGGACCTGTCGCCCGTGCAGTGATGCTGAGGTTCTCATGGCTGTGTGTACCAGCGATTTTGGTAAGTAGCTTTCTGGCCCCTCAGACTTGCTCAACTCATTGTCTTTTGCCAGTCCTACCCCCATCTTATCCCAGCTCCTCCTCCCGCCAGGCTCCTTTCCCCTTCCCAGGATTATTCTGGGCTTTGATTAGATTCTCCTAGCATCTCCCTTGGCCACTGTCCCCATCCTGCTGGTGTTTGCCCTCTTTCTGCTGCCCTTTTGTCTTAGGTTTCCTGGGAGGGAGAGAAGCTATTTGTCTGGAATCCTCAGGAAGTAGAGTCCCTGCTGCTAAAAACAGGGCCAACCTTTGATCTATGCCTTTGAGGTGACAGAGGAGGGAGAGTGGGCATTGAGCTTGGTACTGTTACAGACGTGGGGATCCTACAGATAGAGGAAGGACTTAAGGTCCACTCTCTGGGTTTAGGGTGGCATGGCCTGGGGGAGGGAAAAGAGGAGGAATGTGGAGTAGATATCAGCTGAGCCCATCAACAGAATAAGAAGGGTGCTCAACCTGCCCAGGGATCCCAGAGATAGAAGGGTGACAAGCAGCACATCTGAGCTCTAGCGATATATCATGCTGTACTCAGGGGTCCTGGGAAGAGCAGCAGGGAGAGCAGAAGAAGGGTGACTGCCAGGGGTTCCTGGTTGGGACGGGAGATGCGGGGGAGGGCCTGGCCCAATCAGGGTTTGCAGGTTGCCCAGGAGAGTGGGCCCAGTTGCCATGGCAAGCCAGAGAGTTTATTAGTTCCTCTGACAGAAGTCCAGAGACTCTTCAGCAGAGCTGGCTGAGGAGAGAAAGCGCTAGGGTCAGAGGTCAAATGATCTAGGGAGCATTGGGGGCATGCAGCGGTGGGGGAAGGAACAGCAGCAGCAGCTTCAATTGACGTGCTGGATGATGAACTTATGCTCCTCCAGCTTATCCCTCTTGGTATCGTTCATCCTTCTAAGTTAGCAAGAAGGCCAGGATGTCAGTGAGGTTGCAGCTGTACCTCCAACCCCAAGGCCATGCTAGTAAAATCTCTGGTGGGGAGAAGGATGGGGCAGGTTGTGCTGCCGTTGGGCACGGAGTGTGAGGGTCCACCGTTGGCAGGAAGTGAGTACTGGATTTCTGTCTGAGGCCAGGTTGATTATCAACTTCTCTGACTGCAGTCCAGAGATTCCTCAGGGCAGATTACTGCAGATTTATCTGCATCAAGCACCCCTCAAGCTCCTTGATGTGTTGAGTGACAAGCCCACACTTTTCCAACCTCACTTTAGAAGCCTATTCAGGTGGGAACAATGGACTGCCATCGGTGGGGCAGGGCTGGAGAGGAGTTATCTCAAGAGTCTGGGACAGGTGTGTGAAGGGATTCGAAGTCACCAGCTTTTAAGAAAGCTGTAAGTTGAAAGAGGGAACTTCTAGCCCCCAGCTCTTCATTCAGTCTCCCCTTCTCCATGCAGTCCATCCTGCTGTCCCTCTTTATGATCCTTCCTCCCCTATTCCTTTCACCTGCACAGCCCATGACCCTTTTCTTGATCACTAGCCCTCTGCCTCTCTCAGCCCCTCTCCCTCTGGCCACCTGTGGGTCTTTGTTCCATCTAAAGCTGTACAGCATTGCCTAGAGACAGCAAATATTTTCCCCTCTCCTCTGGCAGTGGTTCGAGGGACGATCTGTGGAGTTACTCATGACCAGGAGCTGCAGGAGTCAGTGATCAGCGTCAGCACTCCTCGAATCCATCGTCAGAAGTTCCCGTTATTCCAGCCAGCTGAGTCCTCTAGCCAAGTGTCTGGTACCATCCGCACCCCTTTGCGCTGTGGCGTCAGGCCTGGCCCTGGCATCTTCCTCTTCACTGGTTGGAGCCACTTTGGAGAGGCCTGGCTGGGCTGTGCGCCCCGATACCAAGATTTCCGACGCATGTATGAGGCAGCCCAGGCTGCTCACCGTAACCCTTGTGAGATGGCCCTGGATTAAGGCTCTCTGAGGTTGGGGAGAAAGCAAGAAAGGACCCCACTTATCTATCCTCTGATCACTTCTAAGAAGCTATCATTACCCAAGACTGTTGCTACCTTGAGCCATCTGTCCAGAGGTGCTGTAAGAAAAAGGAATTGCTTTTATCCTAGCTTTTGTTTTAGGATTCAGCAAGGTCTAACAACCAGCACATTCCCATGCATCCCGGTGTTCCAAGCGCAGAATGAATGATGCCAGTCTTGGGAGATGTCAAGTGGGCACACTCTGGGCGATTAATTGGGGGGGGGTGGGGTTAGCCTTGGGTAGGAAAAGTAAGTCTTTTCCTTGGGAGAGATAAGTGATAGCCCCTTGTGTAGACCTCCCCCACTATTACCACCACCACCAAGGGGATTACTCCAGTGAGTAGGTGCCACCTATCCTGCAGATCAGAGAGGTGTTAGAGGGGGAAGCTGAACTGGCCCATCACCCTAACTTCCCCTTTCCAGGTAGACACTGCTGCTAGAGCCCGGGATACCCCAGCTTGGTGGGCATCTCACCTTGGAAATGACTTAATGGATTGGGTTAGGAAGGGCAGGGATGGGAGGCAGAAAGGTGGAGAAGAGGCCCTGGGTGCACTACAGTTATCCTGATACCAAATGTATGTGCTGACAGTGGTATTTTGGGGAACTAAACTCTGCCAAGTACACCTGGCTTAGTGGTTTCTTCCTGCTTTCATTGGAGGGTTGGGGCTCGGCTGGTGAAAGCACTGGGGGGAAAGGGCCAGACATCATTGTCCTGGTTATTTTCCTCCTCTTCCAAAGGCCCCTTCTCAGTCTGGGTTCTCCAGCGTTCAGAGCCTATTTACTGGGGCTTCTTAGGCAAACCCCTTGGGGGAAAGGAACTGAATTCAATGAAAGGAACATTTGGGGGTGGGGTAGATTAGGGTGTGAAATGACTTGAAGAGAGTCAGATCCCCTTTCCCTTGGTACCTTATTTATTGTTGTGTCCCTTTCTACACAACTTATCTTCCCCTGTCTTCCAAGCCTATAGTGGCCCTCACTCACAGCCTTGTACATGTTGTTTCTATTAACCTTCACCCTGTATTTTAGGTGTTTGACAGTACATATATATATATATATATATATATATGTATGTAAAATACTGGCCATCCCAGGACACATGCACTCTCTCAAACACAGGCTCTCACACCCACCCACATGCTCCTTGCACATTCTCTCTCTCTCTGTCACTCACACACACTCACACACACACACACACACTTTCCTTCTTTATCTTGCACTGAAGTCGTCTCAGTTCTCTCAACTCCTGCATTTTATAGCCGCCCACGATGGGAGCTGATAAATGGGTTAAAACTCCCACTTCCTGACACACACGGGAGGAACATCTTCCCCCAGCCACTCTTCTCCATCTCTGAGAACTGAAGCTGGAAGGATGGAGAGATTCCTGGAGGCTGAGCTCACACTGGCCACCATCCAGGAAGGCAACTGAGGGGATAAGGAGAGGAAGATGCCCTCTCTCTTTTTCTCTCCCTCTCTTTCTCTCCCTCTCTTTCTCTCTTTCTCCCTCTCCCTCCCCCCGCCTTTTCCCTCTCCCTCTCCTTTTTCTCTTAGAGCTCACATCTCAGAGAGACAGACCAAGCACACAAACTCAGTTTTCAGAGTTCTCCTGGGTGGTAGGGTTAATCCAAATAGAGTAAGAATGCCTGGAGAGAGCTTCAAGCACAGAGGGAGGCAGAGAAAGAGGGAAGATCAGCAGAAAGGAGTGAATGTTCCCTAGAAAGAGCTGGATCCAAAAGCCTGTTTCCTTGAGATTTAGAGCATCTTATGAATGGTATACTGGCCTGAAATTCAGAACTCCTGGAGTTGGTTGAATTTTGTCTCAGCTTTGACTTTGAATGACTGGTAAAAAGTCACTTCCCCCTTTTAGTGCCCTAGTCACCCCGTCTGTAAAATGGGGATAGTCATCTTTGGCTCTGGCCCACCTCTGGGGATGAATGAGAGGATGTCTGTGATGTGCTGGGAGCTCCTCAGTGGTGGTGAACGTGAGATGAATTCTCAATACCATCGGCATTCTGTCTTGCTACTTGCTAGAGGAGAAAGCAGGTTTGCAAGAGAGAATAGGAGAATAAGGTGTGGGTGGGGAAAAGGGAGCACTCTAAATGTGGAGGACAGTGTGAGGATGTCTTGTGGATTGAGGAGGGTGGGAGAGGGAGCAAGAGGGAACCCCATCCTTGGCCCAAGCTTGGCCTGTGAGGCAAGGGCTCTCACCCTACTTTCTGCAGTCCAGCACATTCCAGGGAAGAATGTGCCACTTGTTGCTGAATTTCCTTGCAGGGGCCGGGGAGCTGTTTCACCCAGCTGGGCTAAGGGCTCAGGGCTCTCCTCAAACCTCCCCCCCCAACTTGCCAGCCCCGGAGGGGGAGCCACACAATGGGGTCTCTAAGGAGATGTTTCCCGCCACTTCCCCCCATTGTCGCCCTTTCTCTCCCTCCCCCATCCCTTCCTCCTTGCTTTTTCAGGCAGATAAAGGGCTGAATTGGTGAATTGGTGGGTTACAAAGAAGAGGCCACACAAAGCCTGAAAGAGGCAGAGGACTGTGGCTGCTTCTCCTGTCTCTTCCCCCCCCCCCAATTATGAAGCCAAAGCCAGGAAGAAGGATGACCCCAGAGTCCCTCTGGTGGCATAGTTGACTTCCTCCCAGTCCCCTGTGATAGGGGGAGAACCCTACCCCCCCCCCCAGTCTCCCACCCCACCCCCCAGCCTGAGTGAGGAGAGAGTGCCTATTGGAAAAAAAAAAAAAGACCAAAACAGCAGCTGGAGTTATGTTGGAGAAAATGCCAGGATCACATATCATATCAAGGTTTCCCTCACCCCCTTCTGAGGCCCCAAGGTACTCTGTTGGTGGAGAGAGAGTTGGTACCAGCACAGGGGATTAAGGACAAATGTGTGTGTGGGGAGCTGGGAGAATCAAGATGAGTTCAGGGGAAGCAGCTGGGGGCAACAAGAGATAAAGGAGGCTCTGCCCAAGGCTCCCCCTCCTATCACTATTTCTAGAGAGGAGGGAAACTAGGCCTCACAGTGAGCATGACCTGGGTTCAGGGTTCACCTCCGAAACACGTTCCCTGACGGAGGTGTTCTTAATGTTTCTAGACATTAGGGTCTAGAGACTGCCTGAGGTGGTCTCTCTGGGCTAGGATGCAGAGCCGCCCGGCTAAAAACGACAGAACAGGAAGCTGTGTTCTAAAGCATCCAAGCCTTCAGGCCAGGGAGAAAAGAGCATCTTCCCTAAAAGTCACTGGTTCCACAGAGGCCAGGATTCAGGACCAGGCTCTGGCCCAACTTGTCCTATGGAATTGCATCCCAGTGTCTGAAACCATCCGTTTCCTGGTAACCAGTGGCCCTCACTTAGTCTTTCAAGAGATGACAGTCGACAAGACAGCTAAACAAGATTCACTGCTGAAAGCTTGAGGCTGGAGTTAAAGCTTAGAATCTGTGTTCTCATCTAGCGGTGACATGAGCTGGGTCATCTTGGGAAGTCACCTCAACTCTGGTCTTCAGATTCCTGATCTGTAAAATTAGGGGCTTAAACTAGTTGATTTATAAGGTCTCTCCCAGCTCTAAATTAACTATCCCTATCACTAACCCTGATCCCGCTGCTCCACCTTCTACCTAAACCTGAGGGTGGCAGTAGGCCTTGGTGGAGTCAGGAAAACCTGAATTTGAATCCTGCCTCAGGCTATATGACCCTGGTGGAGTCATTTAATTTCAGTGTCAGTTTCCTTATCCGAAAAATGGAGATAATATAATAGCACCTACCTCAGGGTTTTTCTGTGGACCAAATGAGAAAAATGGCATTTATAAAATGCTTTGCAAGCCTTAAGATGCTATGTAAATGTCACCTTTTAATATTCACATCACCTATAGTACCCACCCACATATCTGAGCCTGCACTTGCTTGGGAGTTCTGGCCCTGGAAACGATTGGTAGTGAAGAGAGTACAACTGATTTCTTTTTTTTCCAGAGAGAAAAAAAAAGGGGGTAGGTGAGGTGGTGGGCTGCATTGGGCTAGAAGAGCCTACCTACTCATCTTCACCATGGGATGATGACTCCAGAGGGATCATGATTTTTTTTCAATCAAAGCTGTAGGTCTTTTGCCCACAAGGAAGGGTTGAAAAATGACTCTCTGGTTTTGCTTTCTGTCCGGGGTTTTCACTGCTGGTTCTATTAACTGCACTGGTAGAAATGTTGAGACTGAGATTGGTCTTCATGGAAGAAGATGCGTGTGAAAGAACGTGTGGGTGTGAGTACCTTCCTGTGCCTCTGGTGGCAAATGTGATCCCACATGCATGTGTACCCCAGTGTATGTTGTGGGGGTGGGTGCACGTTGACAAGGGTATGGAGTAAGGTTCTACAAGAATGTCTGGGACTCATCTCGGGTGAGGCTGTGGGTGTGTGAGAAAGTGGTCTGCATGCCTGGGAGCTTTTCTGTGTAATTGGTTCTTGGACAAGAGTGTAGAGAATTAAGTACAAATTCCACATGTGGCTTCCTGGGACTCATTCTGCTATTGATCCGCACCAGACTAATCCTTCTAAGGTTTAGAAGGGGCAGCCTCTTGTCACCCCAGGGTGGCAGGGCCAGTAATGAATAGCAGTCTCCAAAGGGGAAGGGCTATTGTGCGTGGGCTTGGGCTGAGGTCTCTGGGCCTGCTCTCTCTCCATTACTTAGAACATTGCCAGGTCACTTCTATTTTCTGGAGCTGTTCCCAAGGTCCAGGGCTTTCCCATCATCTGGGAGTGCGTAGCTGCAGAAATCTTAAGTGGCAGCCTCAGCCAGGGCCCCATGTGGGGGTGGGGGAGGTAGGCAGTGTGTGCTTGGGAAGCTAAATGAGATGGCTCTCTGCCCTGAGGCCTAGGGCACTCGGTCCTCTCCCTGAGGCTATGTCCAGTGCCTGGGAATGGGCTCAGGATTTTGAGTACTCAGGTGGGCTTGGGAAATAGCCTTCTCTCATCTAAGCTGCTCTTTCTCCTTTTGGCTGTTGGCTCTCAGGGCTGCGGCTGAGATTGCAGGCAGCTGGGGAGGGAGCTATTCCCAGCACATAGTGACAAATTCCTGACATTCATGGCTACTTTACAGCATGGAGGAGGGAAAAAAAAAAGACCTAGGAGGGTAAAAGATTAAAGGTCTTTAGGTCTGAGAGGTTTCCTACCAGGAGCATAAAAGCCTCTCCACTCAGTCCTCACCTGCCCCTGTTTAAATCCTTTGGAATCCAAATAGTGGCCCCTCTTCCCACCCTCAGGCTGGGAAAGGTCATTTCTTTGGTATTCCTAAATCCCTTTATACACGTTGCCTAGGGTGGGAAATCTCTCCAGTTTCTTTCTCTCCCTGGACAACTGGAAAATTCAGAAGTGAGGAGTCATAAGGATCCAACCCGAACCCAGGGAACGGCCTTGCTCTGCCAATCCCTCCTCCCCCACCCCCTCCACCTCCCCTCCTCTCACATTTCCTGTCCTCCCAACTGGGCGCAGGCGCCTCGTTTTCTCCCCTCACTTCATTTTCAGTTTCACTTACACATCATCTTTCTTAACCTCAGCCCCCTTGCTAAGTCCTTTGGCCTTTATTTCTGTTGGCCTCTCTCTCCTCCCCAAGGGCTCACTCGGTCTCCACACTCCCTTTGCCTCAATACTTCCCCG